GGCAGCGGGAGTCTGGGGCGCGTGCGCAAGGCTGCCCGGAGCCGCGCTGACTTGAACTCGTACCCCTCCGTGGTGGGTAGGGTTTGCAAGGTGCGCGCGCCGCCCCCTGCCTCGCGCACTAAAGAACGATTCTCGCCCACCGGCACCGGCACCGGCACCGGCACCGGCACCGACACCGGCACTGGCACCGGCACTGGCACCGGCACCGGCACCGGCACCGGCACCGGCACCGGCACCGGCACCGGCACCGGCGCCGGCACCGGCACTGGCACCGGCACCGGCACCGGCACCGGGGCCGGCACCGGCACCGGCACCGGCACCGGCACCGGCACCGGCACGGGCACCAGCACCGGCACCGGCACCGGCACCGGCACCGGCACCGGCGCCGGCACCGGCACCGGCACCGGCACCGGCACCGGCGCCTGCGCCGGCACCGGCACCGGCACCGGCACGGGCACCAGCGCCGTCGCCGTCGCCGGCGCCAGCACCGGCTTTGGCACCCGCACCCGCAACCGCACTGGCACCAGCATTGGCACCGGCACCGGCACCGGCACCAGCGCCGGCGCCAGCATTGGCACCGGATGAAAAACATCATTGACATTGAACATCATGACATTTCCCAAACAGTGCTTGCACTTAGGGGGCCTTCTCTCTTTCCTAGTAGCTGGGTCTGAGGGGCGGTCTGGCGGCTCTTTCCTCGCCGTTGCCGCCCTGTCGCCGCCCGTCGTCTGGGCTTGAGGGGCGGTCTGGTTTTTCCGTCCTTGCCGTCGCCCCCCCTTGCTGCGTCGTCGCCGCCCGTCGTCTTGGCCTGAGGGTCGGTCTGGCGGTTCCTTGCTCGTCGCCGTCACCGTCCCGTCGCCGCCTCCTCGTCGCTGCCCTGTGCGCCCCCCCAGCGGTTGCAATCCAATCGGTTGCAAGCCAATCAAGTGCAAACCCAGTGGAATCGATTGCAGTCCAATCAATGGTAAAATTATGCAAACGCAGTTCCCCACATAAAAAATATTAACAGTTTCGTGGGACCCATGGGGTACGACAACATCAACACGAAGGAGAATCTCATCGAACGAGTAAGTACGCACGAAAGGCCGGCGAAAGAAAGGAGGAGGGAGGACAGGTGCTCAGGAAACGAAGCCTTGTAAATAGTACGGGTTCTTGATACTCGGGCCGGGCGAAAGGGGGGGATTCGGAAAGGGGGGGTTACGAAATTTGCTGCATGCAGCTGGTTTCGGCCCCACCGAGGGGCCCATCCCTCGATACATGGCCGCCTCCGGCGCCGGGAGGCGCCGGGAAAATCAGCTACGTGAGCTGATTCTCAAACCCCCCCTTTGCTATCCCCCCCTTTCGCCCGACCCGAGATACCCTCTTCGCTCTGGCGGGGCCCCGCTGGAAGGGGGGAGGCCTACGAAACCTGGTAAAGAGTAATGCTGTCCGCGACCCTCCTCGTTCAAGCGAGTCCTCCTCCTCCTCCTCCTTCTCGTGGTCCTGCTCCTCCTCGTCCTCCTCATCCACGGCATCATCATCATCATCATCATCACCATCATCATCATCATCCTCATCATCATCATCATCATCCTCATCATCATTATCATCATCATCACCAGCATCATCGTCGTCATCATCAGCATCATCAGTAGCATCGTCGTCACCCCGTCGTCGTCATCATCAGCATCATCGTCATCATCATCAATATCAACATCATCAACATCATCATCATCGTCAGCATCATCGGCATCATCATAACCATCATCATCATCCTCATCATCATTATCAACATCATCATCATCGCCAGCGTCATCGTCATCATCATCATCGTCGTCGTCGCCACCATCGTCATCATCATCATCACCAGCACCGTCATCATCATCACCATCACCGTCCTTGAATTCGTCATCGTCCGCATCATCGTGGACGTCATGATCGTCAGCATCATCGTTGTGATCATCATCAACAGCACCAGCAACGTCAGCATCAGCAGCAGCATCGTCATCATCACCAGCATCTGCATCATCATCCTCGTCGTCGTCGCCATCGTTGTCATCATCGTCATCGTCATCATCATCATCGTCATCATCATCCGCATCATCGTCATAATCACCGTTATCGCCATCGTCATCGTGCATCACCATTATCGCCATTTTCATCGTCATCGTGAACAGCAGTATAACCATCGTCATCACCATCATCATGATGAAGCCTTCCTCATCGCAGAACTCCCCCTCCTCCTCACCCTCCTCAGTGGGAGGGGTAGGACGTGAGATGGATAGGTAATGTTCTCCCCTCCTCCTCACTCACGTCAGTGGGAGGGGCACGACACCATTTAAATAGTATGGGTTTCCGATACCCTCCTTGCTCAGTCGGGGCCTCCCTGGATGGGTGGGAGGGGCACGAAACCATGTAAATAGTATGGGTTTCCGATACCCTCCTCGCTCAGGCGGGGCCTCCCTGGAGGGGTGGGCGGGGCACGGAACCATGTAAATAGCATGGGTTTCCGATACCCTCCTCGCTCAGGCTGGGCCTCCTTGGAGAGGTGGGAAGGGCACGAAACCATGTAAATAGCATGGGTTTCCGATACCCTCCTCGCTCAGGCGGGGCTTTCCTGGAGGGATGGGGGGGGCATGAAACCATGTAAATAATATAGGTTTCCAATACCCTCCTGGCTCAGGCGGGGCCTCCCTGGAGGGGTGGGAGGAGCACGAAACCATGTAATCTTTATTAATTTCCGATACCCTCCTCGCTCAGGCGGGGCCTCCCTGGAGGTGTGGGAGGGGCACGAAACCATGTAAATAGTACGGGTTCCCGATACCCTCCTCGCTCAGGCGGGGCTTTCCTGGAGGGGAGGGAGGGGCACGAAACCATGTAAATAATATGGGTTTCCGATACCCTCCTGGCTCAGGCGGGGCCTCCCTGGAGGGGTGGGAGGAGCACGAAACCATGTAAATAGTATGGGTTTCCGATACCCTCCTCGCTCAGACGGGGCCTCCCTGGAGGGGTGGGATACCCTCCTCGCTCAGGCGGGACCTCCCTGTAGAGGTGGGAAGGGCACGAAACCATGTAAATAGTAGGAGTTTCCGATACCCTCCTCGCTCAGGCGGGGCCTCCCTGGAGGGGCGGGAGGGGCACTGGGAGGCGGGAGGCAGAGGATGTTCTGGGAAAACAAGAACCCGCACCAGCACCGGCCACCAGCACCAGCACCGGCACCGGCACCGGCCCCGGCACTGGCACCAGCACCGGCTACCGTCCACCGGCACCGGCCACCGGCACCGGCACCGGCACCGGCACCGGCACCGGCACCGGCACCGGCACCGGCACCGGCACCGGCACCGGCACCGGCACCGGCACCGGCCACCGGCACCGGCACCGGCACCGGCACCGGCACCGGCACCGGCACCGGCACCGGCACCGGCACCGGCACCGGCACCGGCACC